ATTATTTTCCAATTGCGCCGATAGAATTTTTACTAGAAGTAAGGCTAACCTCTCCATACATTTTTGAATTTATAAAAACAATACATTAAGAAATTTGGAAAAAATTGAACCTAAAGATTCTAATTTTTAAAAATTCTAGAACAGAGGTTTTTCGTTCATTTAAAAATTGCGATTTACAATCTTAGAGTACATACTTTTCCTTATATTCTCTTTGATCTAACATTATTGGTTTGGCTACATTGTGCATATTTATCAGGGTTCTTAAAAAACAAGTTTAAAAAGAGCTATTAAAACATAAATAAACAATTAAAAACATTTCACAGACCAATGTAAATTTTGTCATTTTTGGTATTTTAAACAACCATTGTTTAAAACGTAACAACCCTGATATTTATTAATTAAATCCTTTATTTTAATTCATAGCTAATTATTGATTCTAATAACTACACAAAGTAAATAAGTAAAACAAAACAAGAAATAAAATGTTCAATAAATATATTATAAATCATTTATTCGTTACTAAATAAACAACATTGATTTAATTATAATTAAATAAAAACAAAGGGATCACAGAGTTAAATACATAGAAAAAAAATAGTACATCTAGAGAAGTATTTAAAATACAATTCATTACTTAGATGACAAATATGTTACAATAAACACTAACCCATTTAGTTTAAGGAGCACATTATGTTAGTACCTAGCCACTTAATGACCAAATTACTAATTCTTGCTGTGGTTTAGTATCTTTATTGTTCGAAAGTGTTAAAAACATATCTAGGAGACAACAATTAGCTAAAATATTGTACAACTTTAAAAAAATCAATTATATAAATCACGTTTTAAAATTATAAGTAACATCAGAACAACCTTCCTTAGCTATCTTTGCAATAATATAGTCATTGCAACCACCAATTGATTATTAAAACATTTTACATTGTTTCTATAAAAAATTAACTAGTTCTATAACTACTTACATCTATGAACACGAAGATTATTGTTTGTAGTAATATTACAATGGTAGGTTATTGCTTTAAAAAATAAAGGTAAAATATAAAAATTAACATGGCAGACTTAGACATATGGTATATAATGCTCCAAGATAATGGTAGCTTAAACCTAAAAATGTAATTGTGAACCTAATAACGTATGCCATTAAAGTCATAAAAAACTTAAAAATTTACTCATTTTATTTTTAAAATTCAACTATGAAATATTATACCTAAAAAAGTAAATATACGTTAAACACAATGAAACTAAAAGTATGCATTTCAAAATGATAAATACTTTATGGCAACCCAGAATCTGGCTTACACATAATTAAATAAATAGAAAAATAAATACAACAAAATTCCTATGGTTATTTTATTTTGATTTTGTGTAGTTTTAATTTAAATCCTAACAATTCTGAAAGGACACCAGAAAGAGCTGATAAAATCACTACTTTAATAAGTGTGAATAAGTACGGATTGTCTGATAAACCAGCAATTTTGAATGGACTTTCTAATTCCTAAAAATAATTCATAAATAAATATTAGTTTATTTTATTTACAATTTAAGTCATTATGAGTTCAAATTTATAGCTGAAGAAATTTATTACAATTCATTTTAATTAGAAATATTGTTTTCCAAAATTATCAATAAAATTTAAATTATTGAAATGATATGATTACCTTCAGTAAATCTGCAGCTAATTTTAATACACTATTAGCTACCATTAATTCATCTTTTTTGTTAGGCTTTTGTTCGATTTGCAAATACAGATTAATCTGAAATAACATATACAAATGTTTAATTTAATGAAAATTATATCAAAAATGTAAAGATGTTTTATTTACACATAACAAACTAAAATAATATGAATATATAATAAATAACCTCAAAAATGTACACTGTTTACCAAAAATAACACAAATTAATATATTTGTATATATTATATATAATATACCTTATCAAATAGCCACTAAGGTATGTCTCTTAAAGCTTATATTACATAAACCAAAAAAGTTAACTTAAACCATAAACCATTAAATAATTTACAATTCTGACAAATTGACATTTAAAAAAAACTATGCTCTTAATTAAAGGTTATGGTATTCATTTAAGTTATCCAAAAATGCTCTTGACATATTATTAAAGATTTTACATCTGAACCCAATTATTCAAAACTTTTAAAGGCTTTAGGTTCTTTGAATAAAGCTAAATACCATTGAAAGAGCTAAGATGTACACTATGAACTCTATTGAGTTAAGCCATTGAAATACTAAATATTTATAAGTAATCATCATAGATTAAAATCCATTTATGTTCATTTAAATCTACAGAATAAATATAATTGTAAAATATTTATTTACAATAAGTTTCTAATAATTTAAATAATATAATTCAGTAAATGACTATATAAATATATAAAGTTTTATTTTAATTAAATAAAAAAAAATAGTGTACCTGCTCAGTAATTAATGTAGACAGATTTCGATATTTTTTATTAATTTTTGTACCAAGTGTTAAAAATCTCAACAAGTAAATTCCTAAAACCATACACCAAGCAGAAGACTCTAAATGAAATTCTGAACTTAGAGAAAAAGTATCCTAAAAATATTATATTTATTAACACTGAGATTTATCACAACATACAATTTCATAGTTACTTTTAATAATTCTACACTAAGAATAGATAAAAAAAGTGATGATATGTAAAATGAAGAAGATACTATGACATCAACTGATCTTTGTGGCCCACGCTTCTGAAAATTAAATTTATAATTATGAATTGAGATACAAATATAAATTGTGAATATAATTATTAATCAGTAAAGGAATTTAAATTTAAATTTTAGTAATTTGGAGTAATTATAAAACACTTAATTAAATTGAAAAACAATTAAAATTTTAAATGAATTCATGAGTGTTATAATATATTACACATATACCATACAGTATAACCCCCACATCTAAAAATTTGTATGATATACTTGCATCATAAACTATAAAAATGACAGTAGTTTATTTTAACATAGTGCATGCATACAAGTTTTTAAGAACTTTCATACCCCTTTAAACTAAAATAACAACTTACTTTTAAGTATGATCTTATTGATAGCCATGTTTTAATATTTCGTACTTTATTCAATCTAAAATGTGGTAGCTTTGATTTTCGAGCTCTTCTAAATGATGTAAGATGAGAAAAAAATTTTGCATACAAAAAACGCTGTTTGTATGTGCGTTCTGCTACAGTTAAAAGAAAAAAGAACATCATTGACAAACAAAAACGCTCAACAAGTGTTGTAATAACAATATATCTCTCCCTAAAAAATCATAAGTAATTAATATAAATTTTTTTTCACTTATAACTTGAATGTACCAGCCAACAGGCGCAAATGCAGCATTGAAAATAGTATTTAGAACTGATATATAGTGTTGGTATATAAAATCTGTGGGTACATTTACAGTTATAGCTAATGTTGGTAAAGGTTTATCTTCTGTAAGGTTATTTACTAATCTATATCCTGATGGCATAATTGAGATTATCACAGACAAAAAAACACCTAAAATTTAATTATTATTTAGAATGTACTTAATTTTGATTTATTAATAAATAAACTATAATACCAAGATAAAAGTAATCCATTTGTTCAGGAATTTCTTCTACTCTAGCAATAATGGCTGAACTAATATCTAATACTGATAAATCTGCTTTTTTTACTTCTTTTTTCTCCCACATTGTACAGCTTACTAAAATAAAACAGTTATTATGAGTTATACTTTAATTAAATTAAAACTTTAGATAATTTTCATTTACCTCTATCAGATGCAGCACAACTTGGGCTAAGTATTACTGTAGGTGTCTAAAAAAAATTAATTGAATACATCAATTGAAACAACAAATAGTTATAATAATAAAGTAATTTTTTAATTGATAAACTAACAGTTTCAAATTCCCATAAGAATGGATGATCAAGATTATTATCACTCAGTAAAGTAGCTTGTTCAACATCAATGTCAGATGTAGAGGATCCTCCTTCACTATTGGTTGTTTGACCAATCCATTCACCAGCACTGGTAGTACCTTCAGTCAACATAGATAGGGGGCATGCACTACCACCATTTGAAGATAAAACATCTCCTTCTTCATCTGTTTGTCGACTTGATGAACTATCTACATTATCTCCTTCATCTACATCAGAGTTTGATTTTGGTAAAGCTTGCAAACGATTTCCACGCCTTACTATCTGACGCTAATAAAAATAAAACAATATGAATAATAATTTAAAGTTAAAATTTTTTTTAAAATTCTAATTATATACTTTATTAGAAACCAATGTTTCATTTTTAAGATCTTGTTCACTATCTTCGGATTCTGAGTTAACAGCATATGGAAAACATGTCGATGGTTGGAATGCTTTTAACAAAAAAAACCTGCCTCATTTAATCATCTTAATAATATAAAGGTTATTCATTTTTATTTTTTTATTTCTATTATATAGAATAATAGAAAGCTTAAATATAAAACCTTAAACAGAAATTTTATTTTAAAGGTTCTTTCTTAAAAGCAATGCTTATGTTAGATAAGACAAGAAAATCTTTATTCATAATACTAAATTGTACTTAGATACCTGATAATCTACGATCTAAATCAATCATAGTAGCTTTAGAGGATGGAATAGGAGTTTTTTTGAATCTCTGTGTACGCTTTTGATTTGAAACACTTTTATTAGCTATATCATCCATGGTTTTTGTTACTGGATGCGTTAAGGTTTCTAATATCTCGTGTTTAGGTGTACTACTAGATTGTTCAGCACTGGTTGTTTCAGAAAAATGTGATGTTGTAGTACCAGTTAACATATCTTCCTCTGGACTATCACTAGAACCATTACCATTTAAACTTTCAAATCCATCATCATCGTGTATTGAATTTGATCTATCAGGCCTTACATCCATACGATCACTATAGAAAAAAAAAAAATTTATATTATAAAGGATGATCAGTTTATAATAAACCATTTATTTTTCGAAAAATAAATACAATATTGAAAAAAATATTCTTTTTTTTTATTTACACATATATCTTGATTTAGCAGCTATCATATACTTTTTAGTATCATCCCTCATAACCTATTGAGTCGCTAACTTTATTTTTTAAATAGCAACATATATATTTTACTATATTATAAAATATGAAATTATGGATCAATAACAACTTTTGAATCAGTAATTCCAAAGGTATAATATTTTTAATATATAGACTGAGGAAGAGATGCGAGTATGTTTATATATACCATTAAATATTTCTTAGCTTCACTTTTCCATCCATCTAGGTATAAAAATATTAATAACATCCAAAATACTAGATCAAAAGTTATTGCTGATTTGTCATTTTCTTAATAAGATAAATTTCTATTTTATAAGATAGTTAAATATGTATATTTAAAAATTAAAGTTAATGCCCCTATACACTATAAGGGATGATGTAAAAAAGTATTAAGTAGCTGACAAATCAATAATTATATATAATTTAAAAAGGACAATTTTTTTTTAATATTGTATTTATTTTGTGAGTAATTGAGTAGTTAATTATAAACAGTTCATCCCGTATAAACATAACTAATCTATGATGTTTTGACAAATCTAATAATTTTTTAATCAAAAAATATTTTATGTAACAATTTTTACAGTTTTGGACTTTTTGAAATTCTTTGGTATATACTCTTAAGATTTTATTAGGATTAGTGTTATTAAAACAAATTATAGCAGTTTTAAAATACAAAAAATCTTGTCTTAAAACAACGTTTATAGTAAGTTAGAATTATTTTTCTAGATTTCTAAAATTGAGGGTTTTTTTTAGCAATAATTGGTTTAATTAGATTAAAATTGTAATCTACTGATGTATTGATCATTAAAATCAATCTAGTGAGAGCTGTGAAATTTTATGAATAAATATAAAAAAAATTCACCAACACAAAACTAATATCTTTTCAGCTCTGTATTGAAGCTAAAATAAACTTTTAACAAAGTCCAAAATTGTAAACATGATAAATGTAAAACTAAAAAAAATATTAACACAAAATATTTGTTTAATACAAAAATATTATTTTTGTCAAAACATCATATTCCAATCTGTATATCTATTTAAAAAAATTTTAGTTAATAAATTTCAGTTAATTTAGATTCAAAGTTTAGAAATATTAGAACTTTGTTATGTTACATACACTCCTCCTAATTGTTTTTTTTCTTCTCGATTGACTACACGTAAATCTGTAGTAATTTCTTCAGTAACTACAGGAATACTACATTCAGGTAAAGAATCAATAACCCAACTACGAGTTTTAATAGGTGAAGTATCCCATGCTACATTTCGTGATTTACTTGCATCCCCACTAAATAAAAAATTATATTAATGAAACAAATCCAACATCATACATTATAAAATTTTTTGTTAAAAAAAATAACACAAAAGCATATGGCTGTACATAATAATGTGCATATATTATAATAGGTTGCAAACAACTACCAAAATCAACAATTAGAAATGATTGCTAATATTAATTTTGGAAACAAATTTTAGGATTACAACCAATTATAAAACATATCTATTTAAAAATATGTTATATATCTAAGAAATTAACATCATTAGTTTTTTTTAATACTAAGTAAATTGTTTATTTATCACAGCTAATATGGAGTCAGTCACAAAGTTATAATAAATTCAATAACTTAAACAAAATTATCATTTTGTTGAAATTTTATTTAAAAATAATTATTGCCTTTTTAGAACATATATATTTTTAGAACATATTTATTTATCACTAATTTATTTATTTATTATTAACATTAAGGACAATAGGCCAAAAAATACAGTATGTATTTGACAGCAAATTAATCAACTTAAAATTATCATAAAAAGTTAAAAATATGAACATAATAAAACAAAAGTAAACTTAGTACAAAAAATAAATAAAGAAACGCGAAACATATATAAGTTAGGACATATACAAAACATAAACATGATCAAAATTTAAATCTTTAAGTAGAATAGCTAAATGGCTCTTTAGATATGATAAGAGTGCAATAAATCAGGGTCATTATTTTCAGTGCACATTAGACGTGGGAGAACGGAATGAAATATATAATTGGAAGAGGAAAGAGGAATCAGAGAGGCAGTATTACAAATTGAACGGGCAGGCACCCAAATGTTCAATTTTGATAGTAGGACAGGAGAATTAATCAAACCAGCTGTCAGTATTCTTTTCCTTAGAAAGGAAAAGAATACTGGAATTTTATCTTCTGTCAGGTAGAGAAGGAAGTTGCAAGAAATTTTGAATAAGAATTAAGTCATGAGGTGAATGGAGGATATTAAGGATAGAAGCAGCAACGTGCAAAAATTTATTGTTTCGAGCATCTTAGAGTTTGTAGTTGTGTTAGGATCCCATAACACCAAACCATATTCGAGAATAAAGCAAACCAAAAAAAAAAAGAAGGCGTTTTAAAGGTTTTGAGAGATGAAATGCATGAACGATTCTCTGAATATTAAAATTTTGAGAGCCTTGCAACAAGTTTCTTCAATATGAAGGCAAAATTTAAAGTAGGAGTAAAACAAAACCAAAGGACAACTATAGAAGGATCACTGCAATAGAGAAATTATGAATATAGTAAGTTGAGTAAACTTAATATGAATAGGATAGGAAATACATGAAAGTCATTTTATAACATTTAGAAGTATTAAACACCAAGCCAATTCCTTCAGTCCAAATAACTAAGCGATCTAGACCAGTTTGAAGTAAAATAACATCAGAACTAATAAAAACAAAATGTTTTTATTTTGAAATAGCCATATGTATTTTGGTTTATACTAACAGTAATTTTTTTACGAGTTAAAAACAATTAAGACAAATATTTATTGAGTTACTAGAGTTTTAATAATACATAAAGAGAATAGAGCGAGTGGATGTAGCCCATAGTAGTGTATATATACTCTGTCTGGGTTCCTTACACACTCTATGTATTAAAATGTCTGTAACTTGATAAGTGCTAAAAAGGCTTAAAACATAGCTATTTCAACATTTTGAAAATATAAAAAATGTTTTATTTTTTTTTTTTTAGTAATAAATAATAAAAAATATTTTTTGAATGTAAACTAACAAGTCAATAATAATTTTTATTAAAAATTTTAATAAAATGATCATTTGATTAGTTATTGGATTTGCCATATTTTTGTGATCCACCTGTATATGAACAGTATTCAATGTTTAATACTTACATTCTGTTTCTTCGCTTCAAATATATTTTATCTGAGAAAGTTACTAAAGGTGGGATGTTTTCAGTCATATCTAAAATACATATACACACACAAAATCACTCTATATACTCATATATTCAAACATTTTTTACAATATATGTAGGTTGAATTTTAATAAATTAAAAGGTAACTAGTTTAACTTGATTAAAATTGAAATTAATAATGTTAATGAATTATTACTTTTTGTTTTTATGGAGGTGGAGAGTCTTCTTTTACTACGAGGAGGGCTATGAGATCTGGTACTTTTCAGGAAGTTCTTCTTAGAAATAGTAGTGGTTGAAACAATTTGGGAGTGAACAATACTCAGTATAAACATCATGATCAATGGACTTAACACTTCTCCTAAAGAAACAAACTAAAAAAAAACTATTTTTAGATCATATTTTTAATTTTATTGACATTAAAAATTGTGTTTTAATGCTTTTTTTTATTGAAAAAGAATTCAGCATAACTCATATTATACAAATAGTTAATAATTATAAATTATAATTTATATTTGTTTTAGCTTTAATACAAAGCTTAGAAGATATTAATTTTATCATGTGTGTTAATTTTTTATTTATTTTTTTTTTTGTCTGTCACTACTTTTTTTCTTTTATTTTAATTTTAAAACAACACTAACATTAGAAATCAATTTATTTGTCAAAAATCAAAATAAGATAGTTATTATCATATAAGATAATTAAAATAAATTGAGTAGATATTTGATTTTTTTATAAAATGTAAAAATCTAAACATATCACATAGTCAAGGAGTATACAAATACAACCAAATTTAACCATGCCACTATATACAGCAAAAGCCCTCACAATGAAGAATATCAAAATCACTAATTTCTTAAGTTATACAGACATAAAAATTAAATTATAAATTTAAAACCTAGAACAACTTTTGAAATGAACATATGTAAAACCAAATGTAAAGACATTATACCCTTACTGTTGAAACGTTCAATAAAAAAAAAATTCTAGTAAATATAAATATAGATTCATTTGTTGTATACAAGACAACTTTTTTTTAATTATTAAATCAATTTCTTTTAAAACAATAATTGCATTAAGAATATTCTTTTTAGTATTTTTTATATACATATACTTTTTGATTTATCAAGTATTAAATATTTTTATAATTTATTCCTTATACCTTATAAAGGTATGAACTTTTATTTTTTTAATAGCATTATACATAATATTTAATAAACTAGTACTTCAGATAGTATTTCCATTTTTAAATATAGACTAGTTAAATATGTACGTTGCTATTTAAAATTGATGTCTTTATAAAGGATGAATTAAAAAATACTTAGTAATAAATAAATTAAGAAATACATAAAATTAAAAGATTCCAAAAAGAATTTTCTTAAAATAATTATTATTTTAGGAGAAATCGAATGGTAAATATTAAAAAAATCGTTCTATAATAAAATAGATTAAATAAATAGTTTGATGTATAATTAACATATCATAATTTATTCATTCATTCTAGGCATCAAGCTTTAAGTTTAATAACCATTGATATTTTCAAAAGAGGCGAAGAAGGTAGTGAAATAATTTCTTTAAAATATCCCCTCTTATGACAAAATCCTGAGCACACCGCTGTAACTAATACAAAATTAATTTGTTTTATTAGTTAATTAGAAAATATGATAAATAAAAAATTTGAACATTAATACAAATAAAAATAAAATTGCAGCGTATTTTATAAAGCACTAAAATAAGAGAAGATAATACGATTGCAACTACTTAAAAATGACTGACTATCATTTATTTTGTTTATAAATTCACTATCATTTCCTGTTAATTTTTTAAGTAATTGTGAATAGTCAAAATAAAAACCTATTACCGTAGAAGTAAAAGCACGTAATATTAAATTCATTCAATTCTCTTGTCATTATTTAATGGAAAATGTCGATATAAAAATTAAATTATACTTTAAAAGTCTGTTAATTTTATTTAAATTTTGTGTTTATTTATTGGATGCTTCTCAAATCGTAACTCTTGCCAATAATCATTTCTGTAGTCACCTATCCAAAATAACCACAACTTCACACAAAGTTAACACCAGAACATTAGTATATAATTAAATGACTAGAATAACGTCATAAATTACCATCATATATAAATTTCTTAATAATACGCTGTTTCCTATTTTTATCACGTTTTCAAGTGAATATCAGGCTTACTATAATTTATGAATGTTCAATACGCGATAAGTTTTTTTTGAAATAGGAAGGGAAGGAATTCGAAGTATTAAATCATTAACTGCCAAAGCATTTCCACATATTTTTCAATTAAATGAACTAGGTTAAGTCCAGGGGTATCAATATTTTTAGAACAGACGAAGCGAATATTAAATTCAAAAATCCTACTAATAGAATGTAATTTGTTGAATACCACTCTTCACACTAAATAAAAATAATAATAAGATCAAACGTGATTAATTAATAATTATTTAATCGTCGGTTAACTTAATTAGATCGAGTCATTTATTTTCGCAGTTATCGTGAAAATCAATCACTTGTTGGCTATAAATATAATCATAAAAAGTACTCCGCTGTATTAAATCAACTACGTCTTTATAGAATACAATCGCAGATTTATATTTATGTTGGAGTCAATTTTCCATAACCTTAGCCTTAAATTTTTATCTAAGAAATTAAATTCTGTTTTTTAATTTTTTTAATAAAAATGTTAGTTATTACGATAACATATATTACTAATTTCAGTGTTTATATTTCGCATAATACGGGAAAAAAATGCAATTTAAGTATTTTTAACTTAAACAAATTGCTATATCATGTTCTTGTACAGTTAGTTACTATTCCTCTGCAAACACGCTTCTATAAAAACAACCCAATAATTTTTAAATAAATCATTTATATCAGAGTCACTCGTATATTACCGGTGATACGTCTTCTTCAACAGAAACCCACGAGACGTAACCAAACAGCACAATATTTCCCAATTGTAACACGTACAGGAACAGCAGTGATAGAAATAACCGCCATGAAGTCTGGTGCACATACCAGCTGTAGTAACACGGTAAAAGTAGCAACCGGATCACTGCCAGTCGAGTTACCGTAAAGAACCCATGTTTTGGTTTAGCTTTAGTGAACGCCGACCCTGTGGAAAAAAAATTCGGACTCTGATATATAAACTGAAATACTTTACAGTAATGATTTTGGATAAATTTGAAAAAATCTCGCGCGCAACGAGGCGAGTAGAAGAGAGTAAGAAACGGTGTTGCGTCGGTTTTACAGGAGTATTGATTTTTATTTGGCCGCAGGAAAGGTCATACCGGGAATTAAATCAATAGTCCTTAACCTCGGCAACAGCATCACAAAAGCTTGATTGTACGTCATATGCAAGCAAGTACTATGGGCCATAGCATAAACCAAGGCCAAGGTTACTAAGCACACTGTTACAAATATGACAATCGCGATTATGAAAATTATGCCATTACACACCTCTAACCAAGTCTACATCGATCAGATCAGTCTTTAATTTTGCATTTTTCTTGGGAACATGGGTGAATCCACTGAGAATACGTTGCTCGATAGTTTTCTCCCACTGTTGTTTATCATAAGTTCCAATTTTCTTTTGATACCTTAGAACAAGTACAAGTGTGTGTAATCATCAAACATGCTAAATACATTAAGGTCTCGAGAAACGTGTTTCTACATCAAAACACGATAATTAAGTTGTTCTCACCACGGCTCATTTATACTTACCACGTGACTATCTTTTGTACATTACATCCCATCTCCCAACAGATTCACTTTCGTAACTCGATCTATAAAAAGATAAAAACTAATTATTTTATTTCTTCAATTTCCGCAGTTCCGTTCGCGTTGACCTTTTATTGCAAATGAAAGAAAAATCAAATTTCTCACACTATATAAGCCAAGTTATTTGAGTGCAATTGATACGTACCATCTCAGATATACTATTAATTATTTATTGATTATTTACACGAGAAATATTTCGATAAAAATCGTTAGTATAATAATTTATATCCAATAAATAATATGTACATAGAGTATTATATATAATGTCAACTGCTTACAAAGAAAAACTTATCTTGCGAACAAAATCGCTTAATTCCCATTAAAAATAATACAAACGATAACGTTAAGAAATTTAATTACAGTAAAACGTATTAAAGTAGCGACGACTAAACATTCATAATACTTATCACGCAGTTATTATTAATATACATAATTAGAGGTCAGCATTTTTATTTACTAAAACAATCGGATAAATGCTTTAACTGGATTTACGACATTAAACTACACGCAACATAAATTAAATTTCACACAATAAGTATTATGTTTAAGATAAAATAATACGTCTCTTATCGGATTTTATTTAACTAAATAAAAGATAATGACTATTTTTAAATGTTGATTTCTTTTTAATCTAGAACCCTGTAAATACAGAGAGTGCAACCGAGCTTAATACATTATTCCTGTAAATTATTTATTGGATAGTCGTTTATATAAAAAAAGTTTGAACTTATAAACAAAAAAACAGTTGATATGTATTTATTAAAAGCATCATAAATAAATTATTTAACGCGTATTTCGTTGCGAAAACCAGACCTATTCTTGCAACTCGGGTTTAACAACAATTTTGTAATTATCATATGTTATGAACCCATGCATTGCTACAAAAGAATAGAAGAACAATTACATTATCATATTACACGTTTTCTTAAATGACACAAGGTATGTCTGACATAATAAATTCTAGCGATTAGCCAAACAAAAAGCATCTACACTAACGTAACGATAGTCATAATAGTAATCGACTATGACCACAACCTAATTACCGAGGGGAAAAGAATGAAACCGGGAGAAAATATAAATAACAAAATAAAATATTACCAAAATTTGACATAAATCCATTGGACTGCTATAAAAACGAAATCTTACACAAAAAATGTCAACTCTTTTTTCTGTGGATAATTCAATTTATATTTGTATAGGATATACACAATACAACGTAATTGAACACTTGTTTCATAAATTAGTTCAAACTTGACAATATTTAAACAGGTCGCATTATTGGTTCAATTTTAATCGAATTGAACAAATTTACCAAACTGTCATTAATAACATTGTTTATTTACGTATCTCTATAAAATATTTTTCTGAGCCTTGATCCAGTATAATCGAATGACCTTTTATGAAAAACTATTTTTTATTTTTTTAATTCATTGGAATATATACTCATCTATATTGCATGAAACATTTTTTATTTAACACATATAATGGTAGTGATACAAATTATTAGGTGACAATAGTCAACACATCTAAACAAAATGTTTTTTTTTAATTCACATATTACGATGAAAATTAACATCACAGAGGAATAAATATTGTATTTAGCAATAAAAATGAAGCCACTTGATAAATTCTACAAGAACAGCACCATATAAATTATAACTTATTTATTTTTGTGATAACCAATCCTTGCTGTATTCGTTATTAATGTTTAAAACCTCAATTTAAGATTACATTAGATCAATGATTAACAGTATACGTTTTAAGTAGGACGCCTTAGAATAAATTGAGAGTAGCACGGTGTGGTACGGCATACCGTTAGTGTTCACTATTCAAAATCATTTAGTAGACCAGAGGTGACTATTCTGTTCCGCTATATTGCGCTTTTAAGGAACAACTAGATTGCTTGCACAAACGCCTTTATACGTAAAATGGATTAAATTATTCGTCATTTGTCAACTAAAGAAGCCTTTAAGAATCAAAATACTTTTGATTATTAAAATAATGTCATTTATTCATATGATAAATTGATTCGCATAACTAAATTCAAACCGGATGGCACGCACAACAGTTGAAGCACAATTAACACATTCATGAGGTTTTGTTTTTGCCAAAACGTACGTTTCTTTTTTTATTCGTACACTGTGCAATAACAGAAATTCCTTATACAATACTAGTTGTTAACAAGGCGAGTACATTAAATGGAAAGGTTACATTTGAAATCGTTATATGTTTTTGACAATGCTAATAACAAAATTAATGAAATATTCAACAAAACAAATGGTAAACGCAAAATGTTTAATAGTATTTGATCATGATTTTAATGAAAAAACATGATACAAGTATTCAAAATACAAAGTTTGAAGTAAATCGAATATATAAACATTAGGTATTAATATATCTGAAAGAATTATTTTAATATTTTTAATGATAAACATTTAATATACACTCATTATATGAACTCATTTAAAAATTTGAAAATTTAAAAAAGTATTGTTAAATTGAATAGGTACGTCATAGAAGTATTCTAAATGTTGATAAAATTATCTGTCCAACTCCCAAATGAACAAATAATTCCATTATGTTACATTTTATTCACGCTCTACAATTTAGCACTCGATGAACCATGTAAATAGCTTTTCGATAACACCAAAGTACGTCATTAATCAGAAAATGACACTAATAATAATTCATTATCCAAGTACATAGTATTCTATCATCCTTTTTCAATCATTAATCTTTGATTATCAAACATAAAAATTATTCCATAAATAATCATACTGAGTAATATATTAAAAATAGCAGAACAAATAAATATTAATAGCTAGATTACTTTAAATTATTGTGGATATTTTATTATTACACATATTTTCTTATACAAACAGGTTTCTTTAAATTAAGTCCTAAAAAACAATTTCAAATTACACAATTTCTCTAGTCATTTGAAATTAATCACAATATGCATTACAATTTAAGTAAAATAATTTTAAACAAATTTTCGGTACTAGCAATGGCGATTTAAATTTAAATAAATACATTCTAAACAATTATGTATGAGCAGTTAATCTATTTCACGCAAGTTGTCAAAATATAAAAAAAATCGTATAAACTCACGTCACAATAGTACGACAAACGCCAACGTTTTCTTAATTTATATTTAAACATTACCAAGAGGTCTAGTTACAAAAAAAAAAAAAACTCAAGTTCATGGTATGAATACTGAGCAGTTTTACGAATAATTAAGGTATTGCAATAAAATATCATGTTTACAAACATTTATGAATTTAATTCATTTATGAATTATTATTTAAAAATTAAATAAATAAAAACTTAGTTATGAATTACCCAATTATATATTAAACATGTATTTAGGCAGTTATACATTTTATAAAAAGTTACAATTATTTTAATCAGTAAAATAAAACATTAAAAGCTAAAAATAGGACAAGCGATAAAATGTCAATTTATAAATCTTTCATCAAAATCAAATCTGAAAAATGTTTGAAATTCATAATGAAAATAATATTATAAAATCAGCTATTATCATGAATAATAAAAAGCTGTTGTTAATAGTTCAATTGTTCCAGTTTTTTGTGTCTAATAAAGGTCAATTAAAACTAGAAAATTATTGAAATTTTAATTGCATAACTTGTGTATTAAAATAAGTTTTTATATAAGTCTTGGATGGTTTTAACAGGATTACATTATATAAGGCCTCCAAAATGTATTGATAAGCTACCGTATCAACTTTACAATGAAAAAAACAAATATCTAGGTAATCAATTTTTTTTACTTTCTAGTTTCTAGTACATCCTGCTTAGCGAGAATACTTAAATATGTGTATATATATATTTTTTTAATACATATGATTAATAATAGTTGATGTAAAAACTTCTAATTTATACAATAAATATAAAAATACCTTCTTTTATCAATATTTGATAAAATAATCAGTAAAAAAATAAAGCGGTTTATAGAAAAAATGTATAGTATCTTAATATAACCTTAAAACTTACAACCTATAAAAAATTGAAGCAAAGGTATTTAGCAACATTTTACTTTGTAACATGTTACAATTACAAATCAAATTAATGCAAACTAAAAAAATGTCTTTTTATTTTTAATTTCTAAAATGTAATTGTCACAAAAATAAATTAATCAAAATTAAAGTTTAGAACTTTTTTACGGTACTCTTTTTAATTTAAATGAGAATTTAACTCTAAAATTTTTTACAAAATTATAAAAATCTTGTTGGATAAACATTTTTTTAAATATACTATAATATTAGAAAATAATAGGAATAAATTTATAACCCACATAATTATTAAGAAATTTTGTAAATTATTATTTTTTTTTTGTCCCTATTAGTCTTTGATCTAGCCTCGCTTAAACTAGTTCTATTGTTAAAAAAACTACTAGAAATTAATAATAAACACTTTATTTTATACACTTGAGATATTCCTAAGGTGAATTAAATAAATCAAATATCTGGTTATTTTTAAACAATAACTTCAACTGAAATTATAATTCTGGTAATTTTTAATAAGCTCAAATACAAGATTGTTTTTAGTTTTTATTCCAATTTGACATTTTAGTATATTAGTTTAGAATGATTATAATAGTTTATTAGTATATTAGTTTATAATGGTAAATATTGATTCATGTTAAAATTATCAGTAATAATTTAGATTGTATGAGAAACTTCAACGATTTTTCACAAAATAATAATACAGAGTGTCTCAGGTCTAACTAACATTTATAACTTTTGATTAAATTATAATTATGTTGAATTTTATTTTTTTAATAATTACTTTCTAAAATACGTTAATAGTATATATTTTATAATTTATTTATAGGGTCAGGAATTATATGCATTTATACATTTTCTTAAGTTATTCTGAATATATCATCAACTTTTACAAGTTAAAACTTAATAATAAATTTACTTAAAACTTAACGAAGTGTTGTTACCAAGGTTATAACATTGGGAGAGATTATTGGGGTTTCTTCCCCCTAAACCAAAAATTTTTTCTAAGTTTCTCTATAATTCTATGACATAATTACACAAACCCCACCCTCCAAATTGATACAAACAAAAATAATAAATTATTACAATTCCAAATTCATTTATCTCTAATAAGAAAAAATATTTAAATTTTTTTTCAAAATTTCAAAATAGTCATTTTTTAGTTTTTTTCTTACAAAAATTTTTGATGAATTGATAACAAATTTAGGACAAGTATTTTAATACATAGATTAAGTATGGAACACGGACAGAGTATATATACATTAATAAAAACTGCACCCTCTCTTACTACATATCCACTCTTTATATTAAAGTACTTGTAACACGGACTGCATTTATCCTCACTCTGAGATTTGAGACACCTGTAGATCCTGTTTTATTTAAACATTACTGTATATGTATATGATTTTTACTGTTAATTGGGTGAAATTTTTAGGTCTCTATGAGAAAAAACACACTGCTAATGTTATACAACTTTATTTGTAACAATATTTATGTTTTATGTTTTTCAAGAAATGTTTTAAGTACATTATTTGTATTATTTAATAATATATTTATTATTCATACATATTATAGAATTGTATATATAATCAAAATTACAATAATTTCAATTATATAATTTAAGAACAATAAAATTAATATTACTAATTAATAATTTATTTTTTTTTTTTATATCTTCATTCCAATTTAGTAGAACCTAGTAAAATAAAAAAATCGGGTTATTTAAACAATCATAAATTATTGAATAATAATTCAATAGTTTATGAACAAAATATGTAAAATATATTACTTAATAATGTTTAGATAACATATTTTATAAAATCATATTTAAAAAAAGAAATTTTTCAATATTTATTAGTTTTCCATTGCATCTAATTATAACAAATTGAAAAACTTAAACCAACTAAATTAAACCCTTGTATTATATAAGTAAATAGATATATTAAAAAGTTTTTAATATATATAAAATTTTAAGAAAATCATATTAACCAATATAAGTGCCACTACACCTGTTTGTTAAGAAAAACAAGCATTAAGTTAAATTATCTGAGATTTTTTTAAACATGTTATAATTTTAGTTCATCGGTGCTATAATATTAGTACAAATTGGTAACTATAAAAATCTGAATTATGTTTTGGTTAAAATAACAAGTTAAAAATTTGTAAAAAAAAAAACATATGCAACTATTCTTATTCATTTGGTTTCAAATATTTATATATGAATCTACAATAAAAAAAAAGTTACTTTAAATGTTTTTTAATGTTTAATATCCTTTATAATTACCTATCAAATTATATATAATATTCTATTATTTCATTCATAAGATGTAAATGATAAAATTTTGAATTATTAATTTATACCAGTTAATACATAATATATTATTAGTGTAAAGAAAAAAAATCGACATTGAATTCTATTGTTTTAAATATTTTCATTATATTTTTAACTTTGTCCACATCTTAAAATAACAAAGTTCACTCAATACCTACTGAAAATTAGCTCAATTCAATTGCATAATAAATAGTGTAGTATTAAACTATTTCTTTTTACAAAATATAAGGTCATTAACATTAGTCCAATGATTATTTACTATAAGCCTAAACCTTTATTTATCTTAAGATTTCTTGAAAGTTGTGTTATCAATAAATATTTTTTATTTTTTAATGAAATCTTTAATTTAAACATAGATTACATTTATCACAAATTAAATAGTAAAATTTAATCAAAAAGACGCATTATCATTGTGATATAACTAATTATATTACATATATATTACAAGTGAAAAGTGCTAGACAAGACAATAAGCATTTAAACAAAATATGTGTACATGCAGGAAACGTTTGGTAAATTAATCCTATTCCAATGTCATAATTATCCTTCAGGGTAAATTCTAAAAACTGATCCATTACTAAACATATTCAAAAGAGGTAAAAAAAATCGAACACTTACCGAGCGAATTTGATGAACAACGAATGATTTAAATGGAGTGTGAATGAATTTTAATATTTTAGAAAACTAACATGACACACGATTGGTTACTTTTTCAAATTATTATCGTTTAAAATCACATAGGTAAACACACAAGAAAAATTGACAACGAACGGATAACTACCTCGCTGGGAAGGGGGGGCCAAATTGACAATTTTATTTCTCGACCCTAGAAACAAATCACTATAAAGTGAATATAACAGCGCTGTTGTCGTAGATAATATAAATTAATCCCCACCATCTTTTCAAACAATATGAACATAGTAACAATATTCCTATCATGTCCCTGTTTCGCACTAAATTTATGCTTACTCTCCCTTCATAATATTCAGAAATGTTTTTGATACTTAGGTCCCTATAACGAAAATTTACAAAGTAAAACCACACACTTCTTAAATATAATAAGACTAGGTATTTAAAAATTGCTAATGCGTAGTTTATAAAAACATTGAACATTCTACATAGAAATCACTAACATGTTTTATTCTATTTTAACCGAAGGATTCAATTTCAATTATATTAAAATATACGTATACAATTCGAAGCATCAACTAAATCATTAATTGACGACCTGTCAAAAATCAATTATCAATTAACGTTATCATTCGATTTCTTATTTGTATAATTTGTGTGTAGGTTCATACCAGACGCCGTTATCACTTTCATCAATTTCACATTAAAAAATTTCATCAGCTGGCCCTTGCTTACGTCTATCCTGTGATAAATTGGTGTATTTGTAATACTTTTTGCTTCCTAAATTTTTACTCGTAAGCCCAATCCAGTCTATCATTCTTCTCACATCCGTCCACGTTTCGTATTGGATTGTTTGTAAATTAGTGTTTTATTTATCGCATACTTTTAATTTTTATTAAGCGTTCAGTAAATCATTTGATCTCGACTGTATTGAGAAATGTGTTGGCGATGTGCAACAATCTCATAATAACAATTGTATTTTTTTGTAAATAATAATTATTATTATATTTTGAAAAATTAAACGATGAGTTCGAACGTACATTCAGTGAACGATGTGATTGAACACTACAAGAGACACATCAATCGAGCATGTGATGCTAATGATAATGAAAAGGTACAATTAAATATTATTAATTTTCACATGAATTATATATAATAATTAATATTACTGTTCCATCCATATTTATATACTATACATAAACAGGAAGGAATATATATATCAAACTGACATCTCATATAACATTGGTACAATTATCATTTCAATGTAATTATTTTGGGACACTGTTTCTTTGTGAACTATTTATTATAAATATACACCTATACGAGCTGTACATACTCTTGCTACATACCTACTTCATGGATTAAAATGATTGTATCTCAATGAGTATTTGTCTTAAAATTATTATCTACCCATTAAAAATCAATGTAAGATAGATAGCTAAAAACAAAAAATCTATAAATTGGCAATTTTAAAAGAAAAATTATTTAATTTCATTGTATACATAATATGTTCTATACATATTTTTTATTAATCAAATTTAAAAATAAAATAAAAAGATCATGTATTTTGGAGTTCACACTGAAATTAATATAATTAAGTTCTTTTAATGTTTTTAAACATTTGTTTTATATTGTGTCCCAATTTTAACATGATATTTAGTAATATATAATATATATACATTTTTTTGTATGTGTTAATTTAAATTTAATATTTAAATGAAATAAAGATGTATTATTCAATTATACGATTCTCTATATATTCAGAATTATATAAATAAAAAAAATTTTATAAATCATCTACTTAAATCATGTATATTACTAAAGTAAATAAATGGTTCAATTGGGGAAAAAATAACTACTATTTTTTTAAATTTGGATTTCAACAAATTTTAATCAAGACATAAATAATAAATTCGTTTTGTTTAAAATTATATAATTTTATTTGGCCATATGAGAAAAATAATGTTTTAAATATTTCTAGATTTTAGGTTTAAGAAAATTTTTGTAATATTTATGTTACATAAAATAGAAGAATTTAAAAAAATAAAATCATAAATTTATTATATTATATAATTTTGAATGATTTTTTGATAAATTTGATGAAAATGATATATTTATTTTTCAAAGTATACTTAGGTAAAGCTTTTATTTTTAAAAATTAAACCAACAATTGTAAAAAGTTTTATATATAAAAATCAAATTTTCTATTAAAATGTATTATAAGCTCATTTATGTACTAAATATTTTATGTATATGCTTTAATTACTGTCTTATTTTAATTAATAAGAACATTTTCTTTATGTTATAATATATTTAACTATTGCATTCAATTATATTTAATAAAACAAATCAATTTTTTTATATTTGATCTAAAATCTATTCATTTGATTGTTTTATATTAGATAATTATTAAAATTATGATTAATTATTTTCCAGATAATGTATTGTATTACTAAACTTACTCGCCTTCCTATTAGAGTCCAAAACTTACAAAAAACTGGTATTGGTCGTGTAGTTAACAGTTTAAGAAAATATGATGGAAATATTGGAGAGGCGGCAAAATCTTTAGTTATTAAATGGAAAAATATTGTCAAAATAGAAGAATCAGAAAACTTTTATCAAAGAGATGATAACTCTGAAGACGAGCATCATGAAGTTTCTTCAACAAATGATAATGAAGAACTTCAAATTAACCAAAGTATTACTTCTAGTGTTGCATCAACCAGCTACTATAATAAAAATCCTGAACCTGAAATACCCATTGAAACTAATAGTAATGATAGTGATCAAGAGTTACCTCGTCAACATCATCATCATGATAAATCTAAATATAAAAAAAGCAAAAAAGAAAAAGATGGTAAAAAACGAAAGGAATATGATTCAAGCTTAACAGAAGAGCACAATGAATCGAATTCCTCAAAAAAAGTCAAACGTGAACATAAATCTGATAAGCATGATAGTAAAAAACATAAAAGTCATTCTGGAGTAAATGAAAATGTTAATAAAGAATTGTCCAGTAAATACTCAGATAAAAACATGGAATCTCATGTCAAAAAAGAAAAGAAACGGTCTCACTCTGATACAAAAAAAGACAAACATAAATCAGTCTCTAAACATTACAATGAAAAACAGGAAACAAAATCTAGTCATAAAGACAAAAATGAATCAAAAAAATATGAAAAAGAGAAAACTAGTGAATTACAACCTTCCACAAGTAAATCTTCTAATAATAGTTGTAAGTACTTAATATTTTCATTTCTGTAATAATCTTTCTTTTGGTTAGAGTTAATCAAATATATTTTTCTATTCAAATCTTTCTATAACAATTTTTTATCAGCTAATATAAAATAAAAATATTTTAATGTACTTCTCAGCTCTAAGAGTACTTAAAATTTATTTTTTAAATAATTTATTAAAAAAAATTTCAGCTAAAACTTTTGAAGAAGCTCTACTTGGTATAGAAGTTGGAAAAAAAAAAGGTACTAAATCCAAAAATAAAGACTTTTCAAGCCAATCCAGTCGATCAAGTTCATCTGAACGGGAAATAAGCCCTCCTCTACCAGTTAAAAATATTTTATAATAATTATTTATTATATAATCTTATTAATAAATAAATTATTAACTATTAATACATGTCATATTTTATAGGAATCAAAATTGAAACCAGTGACTTTAAATCCTGAAGAACTCATTGCTAACTATAAGCCGTTACCTCAATTAGATAAACAAAAAAAAAAAGTAGTTGAAGATATTGATCCATTAGCATCAATAATGACCACAAAAAATATGAGGTGGACATATGATAGTTTTAGGAATAACATTTTACAAAATTTTTTATGACCAATATTTACTTTTCTATAGAACAAAAGTTTATTCTGGAAATAAGAGCACGTATTATTCAGAAGTTCCTAAGTTACATGACATTTGTATTCAAATTATAAAGGACAACTTGGATGGTAAAAAAAATGTTTACTATCTTTACAAATTTTATTCAATAAAATAAATTATATTATAGCTCTGGAATATACTGGTGGAGTTCCTTTTGTTATTCTTGAACCAATTTTGAAATATGCCACTCCTGATCAGTTGTATACTTTAGAATATTATAATAATTACTTGATAGAAGATACAGGAAAATTTTGGGAATTTCACTGTAAAAAAGAATTTAGGAATAAAGTACCAGACAATGGTGAAACATGGAGAGATTTTTATGTAGTAAGTTATTATTATAACTTTCTTAAATTATTTAAAATTTATATCTAAGTAGATTTTCTTTATTAGAAATGTTAAATATTTTACAGAGGTGTCTTGAAGAACGCGAGACAAAGTTAGCCAAACTTAGGCAAAATATTAATGCAAATCAAGCAGCTTCTACACCAGTACGAAAAACACAAATTGCTTTTTTTGATACTGCAGTTAAACCACCTAGGAACATTGCAAAAAAACAGGTATACAAACAATTTTAATCATTTTTATTTTAAGATGTTTCTATTTTGAACCATACAAATTATTATAAATTTGATAAAAATTTAATTTTAATTAAACTATAATAACTTTATTATTTTCTATAACCATAAAATTTTTGAACAAATAGTATACTTATAATATAGAAATATAGAGTGATCAATTAAGAATAAGACACTCATTTTCATAAAAGTTATTGAATATTTTTTATTTCCATAATGAATATTGTTTGGTTCAAACAATTAAAATAATATGTCATTAAATATATTTTTCATCTCATCAGTGATGAAAAACTTATACTTTAATAGGAACCCCTACTTGATTTTGATGATATAATTGAAAAAAATGTTTATATAATTTTATTCTGATCATTTTTTTTGAGTAGGAGAGGTATGATTGAGATATGTTTAATAATAAATATTGTCCCCCCACCAAACGAAAGTATATATAATGGATAATTGCTGTAAAGCATTTAAAGTGTTAGGTTTTATTATGCATTTGGCCAAAGATTTCAAGGACCTTTACTTAAAGTACTATTCTGTTTTATAGTCAGACCTATTCTAGAATATGGTAGTGTAGTGTGGGATCCTTATACTGTCTTGGGCTCGCTACAGCTTGAGTGAGTTCAGCGAAAGTTCCTACGCTTTGTCAGCTATTCACTCAACATAGTCTGTCCTATTCACGATTATGCCCCTGTTTCGAATTTACTTGGCCTATCCTCATTAGCTAAGCGTAGACACAATGCTGGAATTAATTTCCTAATTTGTTTATTGAATGGCAATATTGATTCGCCATGCCTATTATCCCTCATATGTTTCAGAGTACCTCAGTGAGCAACAAGAAATAATGCTCCATTTGTTGTCTCCCACTACCTAATTAATTATGCAAAAAATGAATCACTTAGGCGTCTTATGTCTAATGCCAATGCTGACCCTAATTTTTCATATTAATTTTGTATTTCTATCTTTGCGTTTCATAATTAATTTACATATTTTTAGTATATATCTTTGTTTATGGTACGATTACCTAATTTATGTACTTGTATTATTGTATTTATGTACTTGTATTATTTGTAAAAAGGGCTTCTGCCCGTGAAATTATAAAATAAATAATAACTTCCGAAATAATGGGTCAAAAATTATTATCAACCAGTTAATCATTCATTGGATCTAGATTAGATAATAAATTATCTAATGAATTAGATAATTTTTTATTTTATAGGTGGTTAAATATGTATGTTATAATTTAAAAAAATTAATTTAACATCCTTTTAAGGTATAAGAGATGAATTGAAAATAATAATTAATAGTTGACATATCAATAAATATATAAAACTGAAAAATACCTATCAAAATTAGTATTCTTAATACAATTATTATTTTAAGAGAAATAGAGGGGCAGCATTCACCATGTTTTATAGAACTTAAGGAATATTTTTTAGAAAACTAAATTTAGTAAAAAAATATAGTCTTATATAAAAAAATTTATATTACTTCAAAATTTTGAAAGGGATAGTTTTAATTAATAATAAATAAAATTAATATAAAAACATAGGCGAAGTACCAAACGTCTATTGACATAAAACGTAATATTATCAATAAATCAATGATGGGTGAAAATTCTACAGTTGAGGCTATGTCTGCTAATAAAAAATCCACGGCAATGGCAACAGGTACAGCAGTTTCACTTTCTTCTACTAATTCTACTGCACCAGGTTTAAGTAAGTAAAAATAAAAATAATTTGAATACTATTGATAAAAAACAATTTATTTCAGTTAAAAAGAAAAAAGCACCTCTTATGCAGAAAGCTCTTCAGCTTATTAGAACAAGATACAAGCGTTAATTCTAAAACTAAATTTTTAAAATGTTATGGGAAAATTGCCTCAATTAAAAACTTGGTATTCATTGAAGTCTGTATATATTTTACAGTTAGATAGTAATTTTTTGTGTTGAGTAAAATGTGTTCTGTGATCCATTAAATTTAAAAATTTAGTTCATTTTTGTTATTGTTTCAATTATAAATTGAAGCAGTAAATATGGCTAAATTTTGACTAAAATTGTAAAATGGACTTCACTGTTGTGATTTTTAAAATATACCATTTTAATACTACACTACCTAAATTTAGGTAAAACTAATTTTGTAAACTAAAATTGGAATATTTATTGATTTTTGTTATATTTGTAATTTCATGCTTCTATGAAATTTACATGTTTATATAAAACAATTATTATTTGAAATATTGACATACTCTCAAACTATTATGACTTAAAATATTACTTTTGGTCCAATAAAGAATAAATGTACTTTTTTTAGTAATTAATGAATTTTTTTCTTTTATTATAATTTTTACGTAGACCTTTTTTACATAAAAAAATTATTCTTATGTACCTATTATTATCTATTTTTTTTTTTTATTTTTATTAAAAATATAATTTTATCAATAGATAATATATAATTTTATATTAAACACCAAAAGGCTGATGTAATTTGATTAATTCATCAATAATTTGAACATTTAATATTAAAAATATATAAACTAGAGCTATTATAATAAAAAAAATCTTTAATTTCAAAAAGATTGAATAAAAAAAAAGTTTTTTATAATTAAAATATTGATAACTTTATTTATTAAGTAACAAATAATTGATTATTAGTACCGACTACAAAGTATTGCATCAAACAAATAACTTCAATAACATAAAATAACAAAACTATATCTAAAAATTAGCTCTAATTAATCACAACAAATATATTGACAACCTTAAAAGACAACAAACCATACAGTTTATCTTCGGACGAAAAAAGATTCTTTCATAAATGATCATTACATTATTTCACAACATTTGTATAATTTTTACTTAAGATATAAATTATAATTATAAAGAAATCTAAAGTACAATAGTTAATTTTTTTTATTCATCTACCCTGTGTTGTACAATTGTCATGGATATTAAAAACTTAATAAATTTTACTTTGGAAATTACATAATTACAACACATTAATTAATCTTTTAGACAACAAAATGTTAGAAATTTAAGGAAGAAAAAGTTTTAAAAAAACAAGTTGAGATAACTTTAAATGAGAGTGCAAAAATATTACATTTAAAATAAAATACTTTTTACTATATTATATATCATACTTTGGCAGGACACTTTTCAGAATACACAGGAAATACTTCTTTGAAGTCTTATTTAACATAAAAGAAATGAATAATGATTTAAACCATGCAATTTAGATATACTTCAATACTTGAAGATTTGGTGGGATTTACATTTATTCTAATTATCACATTTATTTAAAAAATAAGCATTTTTTAAGTTTAAATATTTGGTGATTTATGATTTATATCATAATTAGAAATGCTTTGAAAAAAAAATGAATTTCATTGTACAAATGTGAGTGTATAAAATGTTTGAATATCAATTTTATTCAATAAATAAAATATAAAATAAATATTAGATTAGATATAATTCATAAAAACTATCCTAAAGGTATTCGAAAAAGTATTCTACCTAAGTATGTAATAAATTATATTAATTAAAATATAATGAAGTAAATAGTTAATGACTAATGCATTTAATAATAATGCATAATAAAGAAAGAAATAATAAATTACTCCATTAGTTAGACTATTAATTATAAACTTCACCTCAAGACATATTATTTAAGGTTAATTGGAAATTTTGCTCAAATTCTACAAATAACAGCTGTTTACTTATACATCATAACTTGGTACAAAGTAAACTATTTTATTGGACTTCTGTATTATAACAAGATAATTATTCCATGTGCAATAATAAAAAATTAATAAAATTTAATACTGTTTATTTAAAATGTAAAAGTTGGAGCATTACAATTATCAAAGAAAATAATGTTGTAAAAAATAAATGGAAACACCTTAAAATTTGCTGAGCCTTTTAAATTAATTTTGAGTATTCGTTGATTTTATATTACAAGTATACTTGTATACCAAATTTAAAAAAAAAATGAAATATTGTTAAATAATATTAAAGTAACATTTCTTATGTGCATATTTTAGTTACGCAACTAAAAATATGCAAATACCAAAAAAAAATGAATATTCCAAGAATATTTTATTGCTTTCCTTCTAAATTTAAGTAGGATGGATCCACAGAAACCACTTTTGCAGTCAAAAAAGCATGAACACAAAATAATAAACTTTGCAAATCTTGACAAACCAATTCCTAAAAATAAACAAATGATTGCCATATTAAAATTATGAATATATAATAAGCAAATATCTAGCAATACATTTAACAATTTACCTTTGTCTCTATGCAACCTGCATTATTAAAATGAAGTTTTAAACGGGAAATGTGATCATCAGACGATCCCCGAAGCTCAGAAAATTTGTAAATCCATACATTGGAGTTGGTCCAGTTGTCGTAAAGTGTAAAACCGTTATCCCAATCCAAAATTAAGTTGGAAGGTTGTTGGTTATTTCCATAAAGAACATAAAATGTTCTACTCTGTAAAACGTAAATTTTTTTAATGTAAAAATGATTAAAATATTCGATTTGATACAAGTAATCAAAACTTCTCATAAATGTCTAAACATTATCGTTATGATTTGTCTATTATTTTTAAAGATTAAAATGAATTAAATTACACAGATAGACTATGCCCAGTTCAACTTTCCCTCTCATAAAACTTCTAACTGTGAACGATACATTATATTACCAAAAAGCATGTTTTGCTTTAAAAGAAATTAAAAAGTATAAAAATAATAATAATTCATCTGACTAGATTCTCTACAAGAATAGAAGTCAGCGTATCTACTAGTTAAAAATAAACTCTTGCATTTTTTCTTTGTTCAAAGTACATTTATATGTACTTATTTGAACACTTACTTTTATGTTCATCATAGATGTACAAATCGACCTGTGCCATGCGCACTGAACATTGTGTAAACTCTGTCTGGTTTCCATTGAGAAATAACGAGAAACACCACTAGATGTCTGCAGTAGAAAACAATTTTGTCTCTGGTCTACATTTTCAGAATCTTTAACTAATCGTAACATTGATTCATATAGTTTGTACACTACCTCACAGTCCAGCCATTCAGCTATTGACATCTACATAAAAATTATTAATTCAATATTATTGGTTGATATAACGACAATTTTTTTTTTATATAATTTTGTATTATTATTATATGTTTATTGGGTATGACAAAAAGTGATTAACCTTTGTATAAGCAGGTTATTGGTCTTACAGATTTTATTGAATAAATCTTATGAGAAACCTAAGAAAAGATTTTCATCTAAGACTAAATACGAAATAATTATATTATAATGTATTGTATTTACTGTTTATGTTGATGTATGAGCTTAGAATTCAAGAGGCATAATTGGCATTAAAAAAAATTGAATTAGATGAGTTATAGAACTGAAAGTTAGTACAGTAGAACGAGGTAAATTGCAACAATTTTTTAATATTTATTTAACTTAAACATAAAATAATAAATGGAGTTTTGATCCTAAGGGAAATCTAATGATATTTAGATTTCCTAACTAATGATATCAATAGTTATTATCTCAAGATTCCATAAAATGAAAATTAATATCTAAATATAATTAATTGATTTTAGCTTTTGAAGCTGAGAAGCTATTGATTTTACTTAGTTGTGTTTTTTATTTTATTTTTTTTTCGTCTGTTACCACTTTTTCTCAGCTCTCACCGAACCGATTTCTTTCAACAATACGTCAAAAGATCACAAATCGTATCTAGTCGAAGATATTACCTTCAAAAATTGAAAAAATTTCCCTCGTTTCCCGTAAATGGAGGAAACCTCCAAAAACATTACAAATTTAAAAATCGCTAATTTTTGAAAATTTTTTTACTTAAAACTGCCATAACTTTTTTTTTATAGATGCATGATGTCTTTAACTTTCATTTGGTATATCTTTTTTATAAATCTGACCCTTTTCCTGCCCACAGAGAAGGATATAAAATGACAACTTTTTCACAAAAAATTTACTTTTTCAACTTAACTTTTGTAAGTGTTCCGGAAAGTCTTACACTTTTATATATATCTTAAATTAAAGCTAATGTAATATACTTAATTATGAAAAAAAAAATTTCGGACTTTATTTTGTCTTCACGGTGAAAATGGCTACCAAATGCTATTTTTGTGTGAAAATTCTCGATTTTGTATTTTACATTTTTTACTTTAAAATACTATAACTTTTTAAAAAATGTATGGATCAATACAATTTTTTCACAAGAAGTAGTATTTATAGACATCTTTCATTCGACAATTTTTTTTTTTAAATCACACAATTTCCCTATATACGGGGTGTTCAAATCTGAAAAATGCATATAGATAGTAGAACTTTTTCAACTTAATTTTTGAAATTGTTCCGGAAAGTCTGACACTTTTATATTTCTCTTAAATTAAAGCTAATGTAATATACTTTATTATGGAAAAAAAAAATTCGGACTTTATTTTGTCTTCGCGGTGAAAACAGTCATCAAAGTTAATAAAAAAAAAACCAGCACACTGGAGTCGCGGTATAGTGGTGACGTGGCATAGTTGGATTAAATATAATGATATCTGACAGTGATTAAAATCACTATCATAAAAAACGCTTCGATGCAAATCTGTAGATAGTGTTTAATTTCAAAAAAATGGTGGATTGTTCCAAAAGCTACATGATCTCCTATTTCTTTATTTATATCCTGATTACAAGTTTTATGATTTATAAGTGTAATATATATACATTTATAATATATAAATATATAAAAGGGAAATGGTGTTATTTAAAAAAAAAATGTATGTCGAAAGAAAGAAAGATATAAATATTAATTCTTATAAAAAAATTTTATTGATCCGTACACTTTTCAATAAGTTATAGCATTTTAAAGTGAAAAATGTAAAATATAAAATCGAGAATTTTCATACAAAAATAGCATTCGATAGCCATTTTCACCGTGAAGACAAAATAAAGTCCGAAATTTTTTTTTTCCATTTACAGGAAACGAGGGAAATTTTTTCAATTTTTTAGGATAATGTCTTCGACTAGATACGATTTGAGATCTTTTGACGTATCGTTGAGATGAGAACTGAGAAAAAGTGATAACAGACAAAAAAAACACATCATGGTAAAACCGATACCTTCTCAGCTTCGTATCGAAGCTAAAAAATGTCACTTATACTTCTAGCATTCAAAGCCTCTCGTGTACAATTAAAATTTTAATACAAATAATAGATAAAAAAAATTTGTGGTTTTAGTTATATGTAGAAGATCTCGAATTGTTTTAGACGTTGTAATGTAATGTACTGTAATACAGTAATTAGTATTACGCTCTAAATAAAATTTGGGTTATATTATATAAAACCTCAACAAACATTTTTCAACTAAAAGGAAGTAAAACGAAAAGGTTTTTATAAAATAAATAGCAGCTTTAATAAAAGCGCGTTTATCAAATAACTAATTGCTTCCTAAAGCCTTAGGCCACATATATTATTGAGTATCTACTAACTATGTAATAGAGCTACGTCGACCTAATATAACTTTATTACTTATAAGTCAGTTCACTTAATCTATAAAACTTCTTTGCCCGTTACGCTAAAGTTTTCTAATTAAACAACAGAATTACAGATACTTTTTCACGTACACAATATAATTTTGTAAAAATGCTTATAGAGAGAAAAATATATGTTTCCTTTAAAGAGTTTTGTAACTCATATGGCCACACAACTTTTATAATTTCATACTTCTTTGGCGTATAATTGGATTTCTAAAAAGCGATTTCTAATTGAACCGAATTATTTATACGTAGTGTGTAAAGTGGTTGATGTTACTCAAAGAATCGTGAAGTTATCGTTCAATTTAAAGTTTTCGTTATTAACTTGGTGTAATAAATAGTTTTTTAAATGCAAATTGCTTAATTTATATTTCACATGTGCCATAAACTGCAGTTTATGACACTGTTTCTATTTATTACAAAACTAATGTCAAAAATAAATTCATCTACTCACCGGTGGTGTATCAAAGAGTAACACGTCTCTCCCTCTAATTATCATGAATCTAGCGCAGTAGCTTTGCCAAGGGTGATTATTATTTAACACACCTTCATTCACCCATCCCATATATTCGATTTTTTCATTGATACCAAAGTTTAAATTATATAATTTAATCTAAACAGTTACAAAACAAAAGCGTTACATTCAAAATAAAGTTCGACTCCAACTTTTGATATGAGTTTACTTGTATTTCGGCCAAATTGTCAATATTTTCTGAAATAAATTTTATCCATTCTGACAAACTATTAACGTTGTCACAATGTATAATACTAGAATTTGAACCATTCATTCCATGAACTTCAAAACCATTTCTACGCAACTTGTCAGTGCCCTGCACGTATCTAGTTACATAGCCCATCATCAATGGAACTGAAAATAATGAAACGTGTTTTTAGAATTTTAATATAGTTCTATTTGTATAATTGTAATTTTTCTCAATATAAATTTTAACTCACTTGTAATGAAATCAGTCCAAATTTCCTCATCATCATTCTCGCTGTCTTCATTATTATTATTATCATTTCCTATAATTTAAAATAATAAAAAGTACTTAAGTTTTGAAAACGAAATTTAAATAAAATTTATTTCATATATCTTTTTTTAATAAGTGAATCAAATACCCAACATTTTTGCCTTTTTTAATACTTGTTTTTTAATAACCTTTTTTGATATTGGGTTCTTTATTTATATTAATAGACTACTAAATTTAGATGTTTCTTGCAAATTAATAAGCTTTGCTGATGACAATCTGTTGCTTGTAAAGTCAGATAATTTAAATTATTCATGTGATATTTCTATTCATTATTTACATAAAGTAAAATATTGGTTGGATTATTTTATGTTGTAGTTTAATATTGAAAATTTTAATTATATATATTTCTTTCACCTAAGGTTAATTTGAATGCGTTTTTAATTCATACTTGTAAATGTTTCAATAATCATACTGAAGTAATTAAATTACTAAATATATTTATATATATATATCTATTATAAAATATTTCTTATGTTTACCCCTTATGTATTATGAGGTGCCGACTTTATTTTTTTAAATGGCATCATACATATTTAACTAGCTTATAAAATAGAAAATGATCTAATTAAAAAATGACTCATCGTAACAACTTTTAGACCAGTGCTTCGGAAGATTTTCACAATTTTGTACCTAGACGGGAAAAGGAAAATGGACAAGAAATAACTAATGATAAAATAGCAACACCACTTTATCTCCTTTCTGTATTTTAAAATTTTAATAACTTCCAAAGTAGTAGACCAAAAGTTTTTATTCACCACTCATTTTCTTAATGGCATCGTTTTCTATTTTATAAGCTAGTTATTTATGTATGTTTCTTTAGAAAAAAGTAAAGTTCACATCCCTATAAGATATAAGGGATGAACCTAAAAATTATTTATTGCGGATAAATGGATTTACATGAGTAACTTACAAAATCCAAAAAAATGTTTTAAAATATCTTATTTTAAGAGAAATTGAGTGACTAGCGTTAAAAGAATCATCTTGTTACAGTATTAATTCGTAAGTTGTATTATAGTTTGGGTTTAAAGTTTCAAGGCGTGTACTTGATTTAGCAACTTTAAAATTAGTTTACTTGGCAATAGTCCAATCTTTATTGTCCTATAGTATTTGTGTATGGAGTGTCACGTATAACTCGCACATGTCTAGTCTAAATTCATCCCTTAATATATTACTAAAAATGGCTTTAAAAAAGACAAAATTATATTACAATCCATTTTTATACGATTAACACAGTATTTATAATTTAAGCATTTTATTGTATTCGTATAAAACTAATTCGGCCGATACAGACCAAAATTTTTCTCATAATTCAAAATTAAAACAATTATTTAATATTAATGTTGTTAAATGCAAAAAAGGTTGGTAAGCTCAATTATATATATGTTGGTGTAATGATATTTTGTAGGTTAATTATATTTTCTTTTAAAACTTTTCTAAAAACGCATTGACTTTAATAATATGAAAACTAAATGAATATATTTAACATTTTCATTTTATAATTTTAATGTTACAAAATTATATAGTTAGTACACTATATTAAATTAATAATTTTTGTATATATGTTTAAATATGTATTATTTAATATAATTTCGAACTCATTAAATTATTATTCCTCATCTACCCCAGGCACACAGTATTTTTTTTTTTTGTGGAGGTGCTATTTATTATATATATATATATTATTTTCTGTAATGTTATTTGGCTTAAATAGATTATTATTATATGATTATTATAACATAAAATAAGTGAGACTTAATTTTTCCTTCTATAAAAATAAACATCAGTTTGGCGCAAAACATGTTAGCTCCAACATTTTACAAGTAAAATATCAAATATTCCTGTATATTTATATTAATTCATTTTTATAAGATGACCATTGTAGTAATAATAGTTATTATTTTTCACTAATTATAAAAAAAAATAAAGAAACTATTATTATTAATCGATGATATAATGCTATTCAAACATAAACTTATTCTACGATAATTTTAAAATGTCTTTGTTGGAAATTTTTTTGAAAGATTCGAAAATTTTAAGAACATGTCTATAAACGTATTTAAATGACTCGTAAATGATCAAAGCAAAACTTATTTTTTAATTAAACCATTGGTAAAATCATTTTTAAAATAATTACTATCTTATTTTGTTGGATGTTTTTAACTATAACGACTAAGTATTATATGCAAATATTTTAGTTTTTCATTCGTCTTATATGAAATTTGTCTTATAGAAATCTTCTTTTAAACATCCATTTAACATAAAAACAATAAATGATAAATCTATAATTAGAATAATTTATGAACACCTTTTGATCCAAGCAAAAATGGCGCTGCAGCTTTATAGTGTTTAACCAATAGTGTCACGTTTTGCCCGGAACTTCTTAATATCCGCAAAGCTTCATCGTGACACACATTTGTGATCAAATTATCATTAACTAAAAATGTATAAATTAAAAAAAAATTCAATTTACAAATAAATCACTAATTACATTATTTGGCTTTTGTATTGTGAGAAACACTACCTTTAATAATTGCATCGCCCACGAACAATCTTTTGGTATAGTGAGCAGCTCCGCCTTCGGGTATTTTTGAAATAAGTATTGGTAAACTATTTTCTCTTCCTCCTTTGACGCTTATGCCAAGACTGCCATTTTTCCTTGTTACCGTAACATACCTCAACTAAATCAATCAATAGTTTTTAATATGTTAGACAACAACATATTGCAAAAAGTATCACTAGGAAAAGTTTATTAAAAGAGTAGAGAAAAAATTTAACACAAAATGATGAATTGTGTGGAAATGATTTTTCAACCGCATTAGTGATGAAACTAAGTATAAAATTATTGTTGAAATTAAATGGTAAAAAGAAATGTATTATGGATTAGCCGGTTTTTCTATTGGATTAAAATGCAATATAAAAACGCTATAGTTGAAAAAACTGAGAGCTTAAGGAAAAATTGATGATATGATGATTTATTTCAAGATACCACAGCATTAGTTTTTATTTAGTTGATTTTTTCTTTTGACATTTTATTGAAAAACATAAATCAATTTCAAAATAAAACTCACGTAGTAATTAGGACTAGGCTGGTTGTCTATATTATCTTCGGCTGACGAAGAAAAAAAATTATCAACCTCCTCTTTTTTCTGGAGCTTCAAACATTCCAATGTTAATACTAAGCGCACTATAAGTGAACCTTTGTTAGAGTCGTTTATTCGAACTAATCCAGTTTTGGCCTGTGTGAAATTAATTCATAAATTAGTTTTGAAAATTCATGCAAATAAAATAATAATAAACAATTATACCTTAAGACCATCAATGATTTCTTCTTTAATGTCCGATTTTTCATTTATGTTCAAGTTCAGACGCATAGTTTATATAGTCAAGCTTCCTCTATAAAAATAATATTATTTAATAAAAGTTTTGTCTGTTAAATTAAAAATAAATTTGTGTGAATAACTTATATAAATAAAAATATTTTTATTATTCTTCTGGAAAAATTTATAATTGTTGAACATAATTTAACATCATTATTTTTTTTTTTAATTAAAAATATATTTAAATATTAATTTAAAACTAACAAAAAATAAAAAATATTTTACTCAAAAATCACGGATATGTATTTGGGAACAAATTTTTTTTTTTATTATATAATTTAACATAATTCAAATAATTTTTTGCATAAACATAGTTGTATTGTAAAAATATAGAAATAACTTTCTATAATTAAATAAAATTAAAACTATATTAAAAATACTATTAATTTAAAAACTAAAAATATATTAAGCTCAAAAGCCACAAAAAATTACTGAAAAGTCGCAGACACGTATTTTAAGATAAAAAAAAATTTTTATAGAAGACTATTTCTATTTACCTAAATATGTTTATTTATTATGTATTACAATGATATATTTGTTTAATATACTTGATTTGAAAACAAAATATTAAAATCCGATTAAACTATAAAAGTCGTTACGTTAATTCCTTTTTTTAAAAAAATTATATTACTCAAATCTCTAGTGGTATTATAAACTAATGCAGAAAAACATAATCTAATTTTAAAAGAGAATATAATTTGTATTGTATTCATTGTTCATACAAAAGTCTACTTTGTTTAGTTATCTTTTACAAAATAACAACAAAAAGCAAAATAATAGGTACATATTTGTCTGCACAGATATACCTAAATTTAATCTACATAATATTTTTCACATAAAAATTGAAAAATTTATATCCTTTTGTTTAAACAATCAAATGGTAATGATGATCAACTTTTTGATTTTGGAGAAGTTTAAATGTTGTCATCCGCACAGAAAAAAATAACCAATGGTCGTGAGATTTAAATCTATTAATTTTTTCTCCTTTAGTTCCCTAAGAGAGTTTCCCACGCAAATCGCTTATATAATTATTGTTGTTTACTCATATATTGTGGTTTGTACAATAATACACTTGTAACGTATAGCTTTAATGTCTTTCAACCCTTTTTATTGTTTAATTAATAACGCGTGGGCGATAGACGTGGCGAAAGAGGAGGCGCACCGGGTTTAAGTGCGGCGTCTGGTGTTGTTTGCGGATACGTTTTTGGCCGCGGGTTGCTTATGCTTACACGTCAATTCCCTCCCCTCCGCGCGAGCACAGAAGGTATTATAATAGTTGTGACATGCTTGCGAATAGGGTAGCGCGTGTGACCGTCCGCATAAAGGGAGGAAGCCGACCCGGCAACGCTTTTCCCCCACAAGTCGCATAGGAAATCATCGCTGTCCGTGGGAATCGATGTTCGGGGTTACTCTCATGTGTACCTCTCGGCCCAAAACAGGGGTAATCCGTGGGCAGGAACCTCACGATCGCGTGCCCGGTAATGCGGTGTCGGCTCGTGGGTACCTGGTTAACGCATTCAATACACACTAAGTACATTTAAGCCGCCTCGTCCACAATGCGTTCATTTGGGCACGTGTCCAAAGACATTTGTGTATTTAATTTACACTTAAAAGTCCATAACTATGTCATTACAACTACTAAATGGCATACAAAAAGTGCATGACGCAGGTAAAGTATAATATCAATGAAGAGCTAATGCCTTGACTATAACAAATATTAGTCGTGTTAAAGATATAAAAAAAAGCACAAGTCATTTCATAATTATTTCTATTTAAAAGTTGAAAAAAATACATAGCCAAAGGTTGTATTGTAGACAAATTTTGATAACCAATATGGATATTTGTAGTACAGTACAACAGTTATTCATAGAAATAATAATACCGTATTTAAACGAAAGTTAATAACTTAATTTTCGAAAATTAATATACATAAATAGAAATATTTTTAATAGATACGTAAATATAAGTTTTTTTTGGACTATAATCAACGTGTGCGTTTTGTTTATTGGGCAATTAAAAGATTGACAACTGTTAAATTCTATGTAATCACGTCATGGCGTGATAAATGTTTATTGGATAACACCACAAAACGTATAACAAAACCACTAAGAAACTCAGTCCAAGTACAATTCATTGGTAGAGAAACTGTTTTTATTCCTTTTCGTGAGTTTACGTTTTACCCTAAGTGTTACTTAAATCTTATTTAGTGTATGCAATTTATGTTACAGGTTTATTCAAAGAGCTAATTTAATTTAAACAAAAGTAACAAAATGGGCTCTGAAAAGTCAACTATGGAAATTATCTCAAAACTATATCCAATAAGATTAGCGGAAATATGGTGATTTTATTTTTCACCGGTTCACAGAATAATGTTTAGAAAAATCATTTTTTAGATATCTTAATTATTAAAATTAATGTTATAGCTGTCGAATTTTCTGTTGAAAATAAAGATCAAATGAACTACTAAATTCAAATAAGAATATATGAATTATATTTTCACATTTTAAATCTTTTTCAATTTAAGTATAACATAGAGAGTTCAGTGAGTAAGTAAACGGGTTTCTATTGTTCTTATTGTTTGTAACAATTGACCTGTTTTCTTAATGAATACTGTATAATTGTTTTTCATTCTAAAAAACCTTAATATTTATCAATTCGATTAATTAAAATGTAAAACATATTTATGAAAATAGCATATAAAGCTAACTTAATTTTTCCCTAAATTATGAATATATAAACTTTGAATACAGTTTGTTATTCTATAATTTTTACTTGAAATTTATTCATTTACTAATAAATGACATGTTCTATGGCAAGAACATATTACTTTCAATAATAGTTTACATGCTTTTTTAGTTTCAGAATTAACTTTATTATTTCTTCTTGACATATTTAAAAAAAAAAAAATGAATTTGCAACATATTATACTTTTACAATCATTCAACTTGGTATTCGTTGTACATGGTCAAAAATCATTTTGAGACATTGTAAAATATGTTTTATTTTAAAACATTACAATAATATAAAAATTATGATTTTTGCTCAGTTTTCCATATTTCTTCATAAAATGTTTAACCAAACAATATGACTTAAAAATATTTAATATTAATGTGTTAAAAATTTAATAGAATTTGCATGTTCAACTTTTTCAACTGCACTTCCAAACATTTTAAAAAGTGGCTCAAATTCAAATATTATTTAATTATTCCAAGAAAGGGTATTTTTGAAGTTTTGGTTAAGTTTCGATTTAGCTTTAAAAATGAAAGCTTATCACATACCTACTTGAAACTTTAACAAGTTATATTTATAAAAAGCCAAAACCTATAGATTAAATTCGTATTGATAAATTATGTGATAAAAAATTAATACTAATTGACAAGTTTACTCAGTAATATAATATTCGGAATGATACGCAGTGTAACAGACATTGTTAGGATTTTTTTTTCTAGAAAATATTTTAAACAATTCGGCAAGCATATTATTTTCTGAAATTGTCGGTGTTTTCTCATATTATAATTTTTATTTTATCTTGAATAGTATACCGAGTATATTATGTCCTGTTTTTCATTAAAATCAATAAAAAACATCTTATTTAAACGGATAAACAATCACTGAAAGAATTCAATTAAGATATACTCTCTTAAATAAACTCCCTAATGTACTTTATTAAAATCAGTTTAACAGTTAACGTCAAGAAACGTTGTTTCGGTTCAACTTTAAATAAAAAATTCAAACGTTTTAATACAATTTGAATAAGTATTATTACTTTTAGTTGATTATCATTTACTGACTACGTATAGTTCTACTGAGGTTATGTTGAGTACTGTGTTACTTGACTACAACAGATTAGAGTACATGTTTTCAACTAACTAGAGGATCCTCTTACGTTCCGCAATAATTAATTAATCAACTAGGTATATTTATAAATAAAGGCGAAACTAATTAGTTGTCATTCTACGGCTACATGTAAATATGAATATAATGTATATGTTTTATTACGCATAATAGTAACAGATTCGCATGCTTAACAATAAAAAACATGACTATTTTTGTAGCAGTATTTTGTTTTAAGACAATCCCTGTATGGAAAACATATTTTTGATTAAGAATTTAGCTAAAATACTAGAGCCTAGTGTCTTAACGACTCAAAATAGTCGAGTGACTATGCTATTGTTCTTATTCAAAGGACTTCTAATTATTTTATTTTAATAATGATTTTAGAAATATACAATAAGAACACTTCAAAATAAACGAATAACTAAAAAAATTATTGTAATGTCGTTACATATAAATATATATATATTAGTCTGACATAAAATGTATTACAGGGTTTTGTGTCTTTACATTAAAAAACGCCACTTTCTTGTGGTATCCCATTGACGCTGAAGTATGCACTAAAAGTACACCAGTTTGTAAAATTATAAAAGCAATATTTTATAGATTTATTCCTAAGACCATACCCCCAAAAAAATGTAAGTGACTGTCAAAAATCAGTTCGGGCTTTAAAAATAAGGTTCAATTCGAATCGAATTTTTTTTTAGAATCCCAATCCTAATTGACCTGAATATGTAAATTTTTAGACCCGATCCAACCCGAATATAAGGAAAATGTTGAGCCTTATCCAAATTAAAAAAAAAATAACCAATCCGTTTCGATCCTTTCAAAAAATATCATGTGTAAAAAAATTACATATAATTTTACAATTTTACATACTGTTAAGCTGCAAGTATACACTTTGTTGTTTCAAAGTGAAATTATTTAATAACGGCTGATATTTTATTTTATTCATCAAAGACGAGAAGAGTTTAATTCAAAGTGTGTAAACGTCATGTTTTTTTTTAATTTTAAAAACTTTTTAACTATTTGAATGTTAAATATGTAATAATTAATTTTTAAATTTAATTTTCTTCATTCATAAAATTTTGTGTTCAAAGAAAATAATTGTTTATATGATTTTTTATTATTCGCACGAACGTATACAATCTAATCTAACATCAATGTTTGATCTGACTCGGCTCGTTTTTTATTAGAACCCGACTCGGGCCGGTCTATTTGATGTCGAGGTCCGACCCAAACACATAAAATTAATATTAAGGCCCAACCGACCCGGTCCAAATCAATATTATTGTTCGACGCGATTTTCGGACCGAACTGATCTATGGTTACTACGGAAAGGCCATAAGTTTTATTGCAAAACCATTTTTTTATAAATAATAACGACTGTTTCATGCAGAATTATAAAATACTGGTAAAGTAAATGTGTTCAACAAATATTTTTACGTTTTGACTTCCAACTTTTGCGACTTCAGCACTTGCTGCCGGTGCTTGTTTTGCGTGTAAACAATTCGTCTGGCCTCGACGTAATTGCGGCAATCCTATAGACGCAACAGTGTGTTATAGATTTTAAGGACGACGTTCAAGCACACCGCCGGGGTGGTCGTCTATACGATAACAATAATTAGCCGTGTGCACAGTAGTCAAGACACAGTCGACGCACCGCGTGACCGATTGGCGGCACACGGCACAGCATCGTTTTGTCCGATAATATACAAATATAACGTGTCCACGACACCACAAACTCGTCTGCCGGAAAAATTATTAAAAAAAAAAAGGGGGCGCTCTCTTCCGATAGACGAACCTTGGCGTTCGGTTGGTTTTTTTTTTGGTAGTGGTTGCTACTTCCGTACGTAATAGTGGTGGGGATCGTGGGGCGTGTGCAGCGACGGCCTGCTGTTCGGACGACCGCCGGTCGTCCACGCGCCGCGGCAGTCGACCGGCTCACGTTGTCCACCGCACACACGCGTTTACTTAACTACCCTCAGCACACATACACACACAACGTGCGTCAAACAAGTGTTCTGTACGCATAGTCACTTCCTTGAAGACAAATCGGCCCGTACCCAGACACGTGACTGTCTTTAACCGCATCCGATTTGCACGCATTACTACGTTATCGCCAATTTAATTAATTCAGTACCGACGTTCCGGAACGCAGTCAAACTGGCGGCGAATCAACCCCATCATCACCAACGGGCCGCTTACTCGGACGGCCGGCCAAACGATTATTTGGGCTACTGTGATCCGGCCGCGGTCAATCTTTGGCGAATGGTCGTGCCTCGCGGCGGACCGTCAATGGGCGCTGAGCCCGTGCCAAGCGCTCCACCACCCCCGCCACTTACAGAACCTCATTGGGGCTATGGACCTTGGAGTTCTGTACCAGCACCGCCTCTTAGGAATCCACACGGTACAAAGAGACATTACAACGAAAGCGACGACTGCGACGATGCTTTTTCTGAAGAGTCCAGTAAAGACCAGTAAGTAATTTTTACAAACATTAATGTTTCTATTCTCATCTTTTTTTGCTCTTCTTTGTTAACATTTATAATTATTTTTTTTTTTCTACAGTTGCTCGTCGCCCGGTGACGACACTCCTCACACTTTGACCCGAAAAAAACGTCGTGGTATCATCGAGAAGAGACGACGCGACAGAATCAACACTAGTCTGTCGGAACTCCGAAGACTTGTGCCGACCGCCTACGAAAAACAAGGCTCGGCTAAATTAGAAAAGGCTGAAATATTGCAACTCACTGTTGACCATTTGAAAATGATACACTCGAAAGGTAAACACCGTTCAAATATAATTTATTTTATTTCGGGAGAAAAGTTTTTCTAATAGTATTCAATTTAATTGTTTTTATTAATTACGTATTTATTTTTATTGAAATTATTCAAGTCAAGTTTTATTTCACTAGTAAACCCGTTTAGAATTTTAATAAATTACAACTCCGTTTACAAACAATTACTATACAGCGTACTTAACAAACCGTACAGTATTTCTTTTTTTTGTCATCAAAACATTACTATAGTCGTTTTCTTTATGTTACGATATGCACCTGCTTTGGACTTCCCGTCAAAATTTTAATATAATACACTGTGCTATCTAACGTCACTCGAGGGTAAGGGTCAAGTCAACTACCGTGTAGAAACCGTTTGTTGACATCCGGCTCCCGAAGTATACTACCGTGTATTCTGCGATGCATGACTTTACACGGGTCTTTATCATTCGTCTTTTGTCGCACCCGTTCATAAATGTATACAACTCGAAAAACGATTTCAACGAGACTTGCGCCGTTTCATTTCGATGTAATATATGCAAAAATAATTAACTGTACATACGCGAGAGCTTATTTCATTGATTACTCAGACACCGTGAGAAATCAAATAAATCTAGTTCAAATTTGTGTTTATTATCATAAAAACATCGGATAAAGGCTTGAAATGCGGCCGGAGGGCACTTGGGGTGAGATACCACGTACATTATCGTGAGAACGTGTTCCGTGTCAGCTGCCCCTCGTCTGACCGTATCAGTGCCTTTGCCACCCTTTTCCCACGGCCACCACGAACAACCTCCCCGGCAACTTTATTGTTGTTGTCATCGTCGTATAAACGGATAACGCGCAAATCAGCCGTACACAATTTTTAAATGGCAATCGCGTGGGAGTTCCATAAACTAATCGAGCGAACATAATTTTAATAGCGACTTATTGGCTTAACACATTTTTTTTTAATAGCCGTTAAAAAGTATTTTAATTTATTGTTTATTTTCCCATCAGGTCTGGATACTTTGGCTTATGATCCATCTAAATATGCCATGGACTACCACAACATTGGATTTAGAGAGTGCGCCGCCGAAGTGGCTCGATATTTGGAAACCGTAGAAGGTCTCAACGGCCGCGATCCATTACGTGAGCGGCTCTTGTCGCATTTACAGTACTTTGCCGCTCAACGAGAATACGCCGCTAAGTCTCCTGCCGCCGTTGCGGGGCCACCACCGCCTTCTTGGTACGGTCACGGACATCCGCCACCTTTGCCGCCTCCAACGACGTCAGCGGGTCCTTTGCATCATCACCACCATCATCAATATCCGTCTACCACTTCGCCGCACCAGCCAGTAGCACCTGTGCCCCCACCAACCAACCACAACAATAATAATAACAACAACAACAACAATTACGAACAAGGAGGCGCTGGAGCGGTTGACAAACCATCTGGAGACTCGCTCATCGCTCTATCGTCCGTCTCGGATTATCATCACCAACAGCACGACTACCATCACCAACAACACGACGCCAACCAATTGCATAACTTGCAACCGGTCTCAACGCCCATGCACCAGCAGCCACCACCACCACCTCCACCGACCTATCTTCATCACGACCTGCAATCGCATCAACAGTACCAGTCGGCAGATTCTTCAGTATCTTCACAAATGAAACCTTACAGACCTTGGGGTGCCGAAGTAGCCTATTAGTCGATATTATCTGTTCCTATCTAACCTTGTGAGACGCCCATTTTGTATTCGCGCGCAAAAGATACAGCGTGTCTTAAAACTGTGATCAATTTTTTTTCAAAGTTTATTAATCGTGTAAAGACTAATGTGTGTTATTTTTTATATATATATAATTAGAATTAAGAATTATTACACGTGCGCAATAACGTATAAGAAATTTATAAACATACAATTGTAAGTAAATTGGTTGAACGTAACTTTATTCTAGTCATGAGTACCGACCAAAAATGTGTAACTGAGGTTTAAAAAGATCTCAAAAGGTTATATAATACTATTAGTTAAAAAGATATTAAATTATAAATGTCAAAATAATTAAAAATATTTCACTATTTCTATTTGTATAAAAAAATGTGTTCAAATAAATTTATATATTTTTTCAATTTTTATAAATCAATATTGTTATTTTATAATTGTTTTGCATTACAAATAAATATTTTTATTCAATTAAATTGCTTTGAGTACATAAATACTTTGCCGTCCTTGTAAATTAAGACTTAAAAAAGCCACTTCTAACACCTCGAAAAAAAACGAATTTTTCTGAATTCATTAATATATTTGGTAATTTTTATAAACTTGTTCATTTAGTCATTAGTACTTATAAATGTGGAATCTAATTAATTCCACCCATATACGTCTTTTTTTCTTAGTAGTTCATCGATATTTATTATCAAAGAATCGTATTTAATCGTATTTACGATAATTACGTAGTAAATGTTTGAACAACCTAATGTAACTAAATAGAAATGACGTATATTGAATTATACTAATCAAAATAATCATAAATGTGACGAATTACTACTTATTTTCTTAGTAGAAGTTTTATACGGTTTTCTTCTTAAGTATTAGGTCTATTTTTGTGAAATACATACAAATCAAATCTTTGATAATTCAGATTCTAAGATGGATACACAAATTTTTCTAGATTTAAAGATGCGCAATAAAATTCTCAATACATTGATAAAATAAAATGATTTTTCAATTATGGCGTATACGTCCTTTGCTAAGACAGCAAAGTTTAATTTCATTACGCTTTAAGAAGTCTTTGACACACAAGTATTTCGTTAAGTGGATTACTCAAAAATAAATATGGATAAGTGACAACAATTTACACAACGAGACAGTATTAAACTGAATTATTTCCATTTGACAACTATTTTACTAAGTTTTAACTAATATCAATAAAATCAACGAATATTCTTCAGTGAATTATTTTTTAATACAAAATAAAAGGTAAATTAAACATCACCTGTCAATTGAAGTGATAAGTTATATACGAATGATTAATTAAAATGTTATAACTCATAATATTCTCCTTCTATGAATTTACAATAACTGTTTTGTCACTAAAACATAATCAGGGCTTCCCTAAACTAAAAATATGGGAACTGAAAAATTTAATGATTACAATAGAATATATTTTTTTTAATTTTGTGACCTTTTTTTAATAATTATTTATTGGTAGCATCATCTTATATTAAAAAATTGACGACTAAAGCGATTAAATTTTGCTAATTAAGAGATTGTGCACATCTCACGTCTTCTCCCACAATTATACTATATAAACTTGAACATAAAAAGTCAGTGTACTTAAAAATTATTTTTATTGTTTTAAAAAATTGTAAATCTTAATATTTATTAAATAACTATTGTTACTTAAATGTTTATTAAAAAAATTAAAAAAAAAGGGCCTCTTTAAGTCTACTTCGCCCACATATAAATTTTACCTCGCGCCGCCACTGTAAAAATATATCATATAAGAATTATCAACTAATATAAGAAGTATATAACATTATATGTATAATAGTGTAAAATATAGGAATGTGTTTCAATTTTATATTTATAATCTTTCTTGTATTTAATTTTATTAATTGTAATTTTTTTCAATACTATAAAATGTGTTATTTAATTTTTTTTTTTTAATTCATATAGAAAATAGTACCAAAAATGTATTTCAGATTACCTTGACTACTGATTCTATAAACAAGTATCATTTCTTGTCTGATAGTTCAATATTTTGCAGTGATGTTTTTTATTATATATTTTACATTTAAATGAAGTTTTAGTTAGTTTTTTAAGCTTAATTTTCATAATAATAAGTGAAAAGAATTGTTCATATTGTTAAACGCGGATGACAAAGTTTCAAAGTTTGCAGTTTCTATAACTTAAGTCAAGTGTACATAGTCTTAGACGGAAATTGTAGAGGGTTTTAACTGATAAATCAATATTTCAAGATGTAATCCAGGTAATAATTTTTTTTAAATTGTAATATTTAGAACTATAATGAAGAAAATTGATGATGAGAAGATTAAATGGTATCAATACAACATTTGTAAGGCCATGCATTATAAAGTACGCATTATTTGTTTAGATTATTTTTAACTTTTTAAAAATTAACTTGTACAAGCATATACAAAGATAACATTTAGAGAACACATACATTTTTCTAATCAGAAAGGAAATTTTAAATTTCAGCTGTATTATACAGCTGTGTATAATAACTTTAAATTATTCTTCAATTATAATACAATATTAATTGAGAATTTAGAATTAAATTCATTGGAAATAAGAGTAGTATTAATTAGCATTGAGCATTGAATTCTAAAAGAACAAATTAGGTAAGAATAAAATTATTTTTAATGCTCGTCTAGTAATTTTATATAAAAACTTTAATCAAGGGGACACTAGTTATGTTAACTGTAATTACACTTCGAAAGTACTTGGAAGTTTTAATTTTGTTATAATCTAGTTCATGTTCCATTTATTTGATATATTACATTGTAATTTAGAAGGAATTTTAACCCTATCGTGTTAATCTAGATAAATAAAAGTTTATTATTAGAGTACAAACTAAACAATAGCTGTAGAAAATTGTCAAAAAATTGTATGGAAAATAATTGGAATTTACAATACTGATTGTGAGTATGTAAACATCAATTCAAAGATAACAAATTGAATATTATTAAAGGTAACAAAAATGTATCACATAATTTACACATTATGTTAGTATATTAAGCCTATCTCTTGGAAACTTCAAGCTTTGCCTCTAAAAATAATGTCAATATTTATCAGTTATTAATAAATATCTTGTATTGGTAATATGTCTTAAGACAAAATTCGAATGATAATTCATAAAGGGGAAAAAGGTAATGTATTCGAAACTAAAGGTTCTTTTATTTATACAACATTTATTAAGAATAAACAAGCTATGCATGCAACACAAAAAGTTCATTTTATAAATGCTTAAGTATAATGATAAATAATTAAATGATTACTTCAATACGAATAGATAAGAAATTACATGTATTAAGTCTATAAAGAATCCTTCAATTAAGAAGAAAAGAATGTAAGTATTAAATATTTATTAGTAAAAGTATCTTATATAGCAAATAAATAAAATTATTTTATTTTATTTGAAATTCAATTTAATTTCATAAACAGTCGATTATTTAATTAAAATTTTATTACTCCTTATTATTAAATTATCATATCATAGGTTATTAAAACGGTAATAATTAATGCTTAAGCGCATAAATTATACCTTTAATCTTGTTCTCAGTAAAAAAATGTAGAATATTTTTTACGAAATATGTAGAATATACGGAAAAAATAATTAAATATAAGATATATAATTAACTTAGTATATGATTATTTTATTTTAATTGAATGCCAACGTATTATTTATCAATATTTTTGTTATTATTAACATAATAATGTACTGTGTAAATACAATGTAATGAACTCGTAAGTATAAGTAAATTTTAGCAGCCATTGAGGAGCAAGTTAGATAAACTAATTATTTTTTAAACTATCTGTTCTTCCATTGGTTAATTTATTAATTGAATTTATCAAAGGTGTATACGTAAATTCATTAACTAAACTAATGAAATGCTATAGATAAAAAATATGAATAATGCCAGTAAATTTATTTTGGTAGATATACTAGACTTAATTTAAGATAGATATTTAGGAGAAAATTAAGTTTAATTATTAATTTTTAGTTTAAGACAATATATAAGTTAATTAGCTTAAGTCTATTTTTATTTTTAATATTTAATAAATTATAATTTATTAAATATTTACAACAAAAATTATTTTATTATCGTTTAAAATAATTTTGATATGGGTAATTAAAAAATAATATTACTTTATATCTATAATTACTATTCACTTAATATACTTAGATCTAATAAAGTTCAATACTAATATTAATAATACTTTCAAAATCGTAATGTATGTTAAGTATTAGTATAAGACATTTTTAATGAGCATAAATATAAGTGTTCCAATTTTAATACCCATTGACTATTTAGCTATTCTCATTTATTTTTATATACTCATTAAATTAATATATTGATTCGAATTAACATACAATTTTAGATTTAGTATATGTTTCTATTTATAATTATTTTAATCTCAATTTTAATATATTTTTAGACTTAATTCGATTTAAGTAATTTATTAGACTATGATTAATTTTTACTTTAATTTAATAAAAAATAATATTCTAATATTGGTAAAAATAATTTACGTTTTGATCAAGTGTATTTTTAATAATTAATAATACACTTTTTGAGATAATTATTATCTCAAATATACTTTTAGAGTTCTAAGTATGTACAAGTAGGTTATTGATTTTAATGTAAGTACGCCTAAGGAAAATCTTAAAAACTTACAAATGTGTAATAGTAATTTATATATTTTTGTTCTTGAACAAATTTATTGAAGTTCTTAAACTGTATAAAAATGTCTGAAATACATTTTTTTAAATATACGAATTTTCATTAGGCGTAAATTAGTTTTAATTTAGATTTAAGTGGTTGGCAAAGACCTGTTCCCACCTTCACGCGGTGCCGACTGGAAACAGTCCTATCATTTGGATTGGCTAACGGGAAAGGCATATTATCTATTCAAAATAAATTTAACGTTATTTCTACTTTTACAAAATGTGCACGAACATTCTAAACCAGAGATCATCCTCGTTTAGAAATTCACGCTTTCAAGTACGCAGTTGATTTTCTTAAAAAATTAAGCGATTTTCGAACAATAATCACTAGTTGTAATAATTTTTCCAATTATATTTAAACAATAAAATATAAACGCGTACTATCTAAGAATTATGGTTTGCATATTCATAGATTTCGACATTCAGATATTGATTAAAATACATATATTTATTAAGAAATGGCTTAAACGAATCTGAACAATAACGACACGTTATTTATATGAACAAATCTTTGTCCGTTTAAAAAAACATTTACGGCCTACCATTGTGTTTGGCTATCGCAGCATTTTCAATATCTATAATTTCATAAAAAGAGGATTAATGGCGGCGGTGACGGGCTCGTTTGAAAGTGTATGCCGATTTTGCTAACGAATTGGAGGAAAACACTGTACTCTCTTTTGATGGTTGCGTTGCGCCGGTCGCGTGGCTTTCTCATTAGTCTTAACT